CCCCACACCCACACACAGAACCTTTCACCCCTCACACATTGCACCCCTCACACATTGCACCACTGCTCCTATACCCTACTACAGCCCCATATCCCAGCAGACTCCAGGTAAGTTGTCAAACTGTTCTTAAACGGTTTGACTACTTACTCTGGGAGGGGGTGCCGACACTCCTGGCACCATAACCACTACACAGAGGAGTAGTGGTGATTGTGCATGGAATATTTCTTTAAATAATCTACAAGTGCCCCTTCCGGGCTCAGGATCTGGATCCGTCACTGGTATATGACATGTATATTAATGTGTATATTAGTTATATATAGAAATATATATCTATATATATATCTATATATATATATAGATATATATATCTATATATATATATCTATTATATTTACACATATTAATGTACATTTATATATGCATAACACATAAATCTGCACTTTTGTTTATTTTGAAGCCTATGAGTGCGCTTTTTACGTTGAAGTACTTTTTAATTTTAGGTTATCTGTTCTAACTCTGTATCTGCACACTATGCTGGCACGACGCATTATGGGGCTGGTAAATATTTTTTTTCCAGGGCTGCTTTTAATTCCCAGTCCGGCCCTGTATCCAGTCACTGATTGACAGCACTATGTCTCATGTCATGACTAAGGCCCTCACATCGGCCATGGAACTGATGTCTGCATCAATTTCACAGACTCTTACACATGCCCTGCTTGAAGCACAGAAATCGGCTCAGCCGACCATTACCCAGGCTTTGCCTGTCGTAACCCCTACACAACCTCACACTGTTCGCAAGGCCATGGCTAAAATGAAACACTCTTCAATCTCACAGATGGACAGCTACACACCTGTCACAGATGGCGCGCCTAATATACCACTGCGCAAAAGAGCCACTAGCCGGGCTAGGTAAATCGGCTAGGTTATGGAAAAGGGCAAAAGCCCAACTAGACTCTGAGTCGTATCTCAGCGAGATTGAAGAAGAGACCTGTATGGATACGGAAGATCCATCAGATCCCGAATCAGATGACATGGCCAAAGATAATTATCCCAGAGAGCCCAATACGCCTCAATCTGACTCGTATGACATGGATCTTAAGGCCCCATAGACCCCTATGGGGAACCTCTGTTTGACCCCGATGACCTGCGTCAACCAAGGTCAGCGGAATGGTCCCTGTGACTAGACCAATCTCGCCACATTGCATTGGAGAAGCCTGGTTGCTCGACTGCTGCCTCTAGACTATGGCCCCCTGTTAAAAGATTTTGTTTCGCCTGCAGAAAAGCTGTATTCGTGCTTTTCTGCCGGTTGTTCGGTAGATTCAATCTACCGAACAACCGCACGAATGAATAGACCACCTGGGAGCTGGAGTGTGCCAGCAATTAACCTCCCTGAAGCTGCGGTTAACCGCAGCTTAATTGACGAATGCTGGGTGGCTGCCATTCGTATCCCGAACACTAGGTGGCGGCCATTTTAAACATACGAATGCACAGCAGTGTTCGCCCCTATTTTCATGGAACTAAAATCGGACACAGTTTTGCGCGAACACCGCTGAAGCCGCCAACCTCCCTTCTTGTTCGGTGGAAGTGCACGAACGGCCCGGTGTTCGGTAGTTTTATTTGAATGTGTTATACCCCAGATAGGAATCCCATGGAGCCCATTCGTATGAAACTGACTGTAAAGACTTTGGCTCCATGGCGATTAAACTGTATTCGTGTGGTCTGAGCGCCAGTCACTTAATAATGTGCGCTCAGACCTGAGCTATCTGGGGATATGTTAAATGTATAGTTTTTATGTAATGTATCTTACATGGTGTATTTTAACAGTAATGCTTGTTTTAGTATCCCCACGTGCATAATGGAGATTTGCCTTTGTCTTGGGAGATAATTGAATTACTTCTCAATTATCTCCCAGGGTAGAGGGGAGGAAGCCAGGATGCACTGTGGGAATATACCGTGACTGTGTGTCCTATTTGTCTGCTTGTCTGTCCCTAGTCACAGTCTTCCATTTGGTCCCCTAGGGGAGTGTCCACCAGGTGGGAGACCTGCATAAATACTGGGCAGGTAGCCCTCATTAAACAGACCACTGCTTGACCCACAACACGGAGCCTTGTCTCGTCTTTGGGGGGATTTACTGAATGCTGATAGAGACTGATTGCTAGGAGTGTAAGCCGCTTGGATGCTTTTCCTATTCGTCTGCTAGTAGCAATTCGTATGGTTCCTGTTCGTGTGTTTGGAGTGCTATATGGGATGCGGTTCAGGAGTTTGGAGCATTCACTTATTGTCGGTTCGTGTGTTTGGTGTTCTGCAGTAGCTGTGCCTGCATCTCTGGAAAGGGGGCCGATCGCCTAAACGGTTTTTACCCCTTGTGTGAAAAACGGTCCCCTTCGGCCCATGTGGCCAAATAAAGAGCATCAAGAATTCGCAAGCCTTTAAACAAGGCGACGCGTAATAAGCTCCGGGCAGAATGCCCACGCCCCACTATCCCAGATGATGCCTGTAGAACATCATCCAATTCCTGAGCAAGGCAGGTTGGAAGCCTAATAAAGGCCTAGATTTCTCCCTGCGCAACTGGCAGGATAAGATATTAGATATATTGGGCCCATCAACCAAGATATTTGATATGGTCGAAAACGACCAAGAGTTGGATCGTACCGCCATAAGTGGCAGGATACAGCGAGTGATTTGTTTGATTGGCAATGCCAACTGTGCGATGGCCACAGAACGTCACAAAGCGATATTATTGAAAATAGAACCCAAGTTAGTGAACATGGCTCTAAACGAGCCGGACACCCAGGCCCAAGGTCTCCTGTTCGGGGACAATTTTGTCAAAGATCTTGGCTCTTTCGTACACACTTTTACTGCCCTAGATAAAGCGCAATCGATTATGCACAAAGTTTTCCACCCTAGGGTTTTTGGTGGGACTGGAAGAGCCAGGAGCCGCCTGTCCGGCTGTGTTAACAGGGGTTCATTTCGACAGAACCGAGGCTCCTACACTGGACAATCTACCGTCACGGAGCACCGCAACACCCCGGCCTTATTCCCACAATGTGGGCGACCATGGGTTGCTCGTGGATCACGAGGCACCCGTTCAGGACGACGACCTTATGGTAAGTCCTCTCATGTTTCCTTCTTCCCTATGGGCAGTGGGGGGCAGACTCCTAAATTTTTTCCATGCATGGTCACAAATCTCATCAGATAACTGGGTATTGAGCACGGTAAGAGGGTATACCATAGAGTTCATGTCCCTTCAGTTCAGTTTTCCCTTCAATTCAGACAAGACGCCTTCCTTGTGTCCAAGGAGGTCTTGGAATTGGCACACAAACGAGCCATCTTAGAGATCCCTATGACTACTGGGTCTTTTGGGTCTCATCGTGGACTCTACACTACAGACCCTACACTTACCAGCGACAAAATTAACCAACATAAAGAAGGAGATCAGACGCACTCTGGCGACCTCACAGCTCACCCTAAAACAATTGTCGAGAGTGATAGGCCTCTTGGCAGCCTCCATACAAGCCATCTTCCAGGGCCCTCTGCACTATCAAGCGCTACAGCACCTACAAGCCTAACATTTGAGAGACGGGACCTCCTACACGGACATGATCACTCTGAGCACAGAAGCGAAAACCCAACTCAAATGGTGGCTCTCCCATATGGAGGCCTGGAATGGCCGAGCCATTTTCGGCACTGCACTAGACATAATAATAGAATCCGATGCGAGCTCGCATGGTTGGGGTGCACGCTGTGGAAACGTATCTACAGGTGGCAGATGGTCCGAAGTGGAATCATCACTCCACATCAATTGCCTGGAATTCCTGGCTGGATCCTTTGCAATCCGCAGTTTTTCACCAACTCAAGCCCTATGCGCCATCCTTCTGAAAATGGACAATATAGCGGCAGTCCGTTATATAAATCACGTGGGAGGCACGAAATCGAAGGTCCTGGCGAATTTGGCACGGGACTTTTGGCAGTTTTGCCTGGCACAGGGCATTTCGGTCACAGCGGAATATATCCCAGGCCTCTGCAACACCACGGCAGACTGGTACTCACGACACCTCAGGAACTCCAGCGACTGGCACCTGGAACCCAGGGTCTTCCAAGACATCCAGTCCCTATGGGCCCCTCTAGACAAGGACTTGTTTGCTTCCCGTTTGAATACACAACTT